CCAGGAACCACAGAGGAAGCCCAGGAACCACAGAGGAAGTTCCCATAGAAGGGGCCTCGCAGGGAACTGGCCCAACACAGGGTGGACAGACCCTCACTTCCAGCACTCCTGTGAAGCCCTGCCTCTCCAGTCCCTCCTGCACTCATTGGGGAATCCGCTGGGTGTGTGGAAGCGGAGCCTTCATGTTTATTTTTGCTCAGGGCTCACACCCTCTCCAGGGGCCACTCCTCCCTGAGTCTTGTGCTGGGGGCTTGGCTCAAGGACTCCAGCAGAGCACTGAAGACTTCCTTTCCSTTCTCTTCTTGGCGGAAACCGAGCATCTCCTCGCTGTTGTGAGGAGATCCCCTCCCAGGCCTGGTGATCTCCTGGTGCCCCGGCAAGCCACACCTGCTGGTGGTAGATGCTCAGCAGTCCCTTTTCCAGGACGCCCAGGTCTGCCCTGGGATGAAGGGGCGAGTTCCTGCCTGGAGTACCCCAGCCCACCGAGGTCCAGGCCAAGAGTCATGCTCAGGTGGCAGCCTCCCACCAGCCAGCACAGAAAGTGGGTCCCTCCCCTGGGCAGGACTCAGCTCCTGCCTGGATCACTGACTCTGCAGAGCAGGGTCACGGCCCAGGTGGGAATCCAGGCTGGGGAGGGCCTGCTGTGCTCCCCCAGACAGACTTGACCAACAGAAGGCACCAAGATCTAGCAGCCCGAGGCCCAGGCCCAGATAGGAGCACTGGGCTGGGGAAGAGTTCATCCCTGGTCACTCCTTGTGGGCAGCAGGCGTCAGGAGGGAGGGCACCGGTCAGGCAGGCTGAGCTGCATCACGTGTTCCTGGTGCCCCTGTGTCCATGGGAGCACCCTCCAGGGCAGGATGTGGCATTGTCCTGTGGTCCTGTGTCCAGCAAAACCCCAGATGAGGCAAGGAGGGCAGGTGCAGCCCCTGCGCAGGGCTGGAGCTAGCGGACAGGCGCCTTCTGTGATAGACAGGGGTGGAGAAGCTCATGGGGAAGACGGAGGCCAGAGCTCAAACGGGCCCACCACTGTGGGCGACCACACGGCAKGGCCCTTGGCCAGCGTCTCGCCACTTCTGAACCTGTGGCAGCACCTTCCCTCCCAGCCACGGCAGACTCCCTGCGGTTCCCCAGGGCAGCAGCACCTGGCCTCTGGGGGCCAGCCCTGGAGCCAACCAAGGGCTCCTCTGGCACATCCTTCCAGCGGTCACTCACAAGCCTGGACCAGCTCCCCAGCCTCAGAGGACCCTGCATTGGTCTCTCCTCTTGGGTTCAAGGGCCCCAGGGCATGGCCCTGGCTTCATTTCCAGATGAGACTCAGGCACAGAGAGAAGGGGCAGGAGGGGCCAGCACAGAGGCTTCACATCCCTGAGCCACAGCTGGCCGCGTCCCTGGCAGCACACCTGATGGAGTCTCTGCTCCGGTCCCACACCTGCTCTGGATCCACACACTGCCTCCGCCTCTCCTTCAGACCTGGAGCTGAGACGGCCTCACAGCTCTCAGGGGCGGCTCACACCTGGCCACTGCATGCGGTCAGTTCCTGGAGCCTCAACAGACTGCTCCAGACTGCCAGGGCTAGGGTATCCACACATGTCCACGTGGTCACTCTCTTCTCGGGTTTTACCTCCTACCAATCTGCTGTTGGGGTGCAGCCCTCCCCAAGGAGCCTCTGAAGACCTGACTTCGGCTCCGCAGCCCACAGCGCCCTGGGAGGCCTGCTTCCACAGGATACCCACCCGCAGGCTGCAGGTACGGCTGCCCCTGACCACCAGAAGCCCAGTCAGCAGGCTTCAGGAGCCTCCACAGAACAGGAAGCTGGCTCTGGTGGAGCAGGGCTCCCGCTGCCCCAGTGATGCTGCAGCAGGTGAAAGGGCTTCGAGGGTCACAACCGGGAGTCCTTGCTCACCAGGGCCGAGACCAGGGCCTGTCCAACACCTGGCAGGGCCCAGAAGCCTGCCAGATGATGACCCCCCAGAGGCCCAGTGCAGAGGCACTGAGTCAGGGTCCCGCTGGACCACCAGGGCCTGCCTCATCGTGGCCACCACAGCCCCAGACGTGACCTGAGGGGGGCAAAGTCCCTGCCTACAGGAGAGTATGGCGCTCCTTCACGGAGGCCCCGGGCCCACAGCACTGCTCGGACAGACCCTCTGAAGTTGCCATCCTCTGGGAAAGGTGGTGGGCTCTGGAAAACCTGTGCTCTGCCCGATGACCTCGCTGTGCTGTGCTGGTGGGCGTCCAGCCACCAGGGCGACGGCTGTGTCTCAGCGGCTCTGGCTGRTGGGAGAGCTCACAGCCAGGAAGAAACAGCAGGAGCTGGCAGGACCACGGACAGCAACCACGCCCCAGACGCCACGTCGGCCTGTGTGGCCCCCAGCGGGCTCACCACCACCTGGGTGGTCCTCCTCCACCTGCAGGCCCTGCACCGTCTGGGCAGCAGCCAGCACCAGTGACCACTGTGCACAGGACACACCTGGCTAGGCGGGTGGCACGCACCTACCTGAAGGGGCAGTGGGTAGGACGAGCAGGTTGGCACCGTGGGGGGCGATGGACAGAAGCCTGTGTAGGCCAAGATCTGCTGGGCAGGGTTGTAGAGGACCTGAGGTGGAGGAGGTGGACTGTAGGCCATCTGGGAGAGAGGGACCTGCGGGAGAAGGGAAGGTCAGCGTTGCACCTGGGCATTGAAGGAGGGTCTGCCATCCTCGACAGATCTCCCTGGAGGGGACCTCCCACCCGGGGCAGGTGGGGGCCTGCAGGGAAGGCTGGGCCTCCCTGGCTCCACGGGGCTTTCTGGAATAGAAGCCCAGGAGGCACGGGGCTGAACAGCGGGTCCACACACTGGAAAGAGCCGTGGCCACCCTAGGGCCTCTGGCCTGCAGCTTACTTAAACCAGCCCAGACCTGCCACCTGGGAGGCTGCCGTCAACACCCCGGGAGACCCGGGTGACCTAAGCTTCATCTCGTCAGTGGGGACTGGCTACTTCTGAGGCAAAGGTGGACTTAGGGGCCCTGCCAGGGGCTGAGGTGGACGTTTCCATGGTGAGCTGGCAGTGAGCACCAGCTGTCCCCACACACCCTGGTCATGGGTGCTGGCCACTGCCCAGATGGCCCAGCGTGCTCCTTTTAGGGAGCACAGAAGGAACCATGCCCTGACGGGTGGCTGGAAACACACGGTGCCCCTCACCAGGTCCTTGAAGGCCCCGAGGACTGCGGCTGTGATGATGCCCACACATAGGCCCAAGACGTTGAGCACCATCGAGACCCAGAGCAGCCGGTAGAGGTGGACCACGTCCCGGCAACTACGCACTCCCACAAACTCGTAGTAGGTGGGCGAGGGCTCTGTGCTGCAGAGGACAGGAGAAACAGCATCACCACCCCATGGGCCGGAACATGGCCAGGCAACTACCCCCAGGGGTCAGGGCGAGGTCCCGGTGACCCGTGCCCAGTGACCACCTTGAGGGCTGAACTGTGGCCGGGTGACTTCACATCTGGGCAATGAGATCTGGGGAGGAAGTTAGCACTAGAGCCACAGCAACTCCTGTACAGACCTCTGAGCCAGAGAAGCCAGCGTTGGTCCACACTGGCCCTATAGGCCTGGTCAGTTCTGGGAAGGACCCAGTGAGTAGGCTCAGTGAATCCTGCAGCCGTGGAGGCCAAGCCTCGCCACACCTGTGCCCCTGCCCTGGACTTGGGCTGCACTGAGAGCTGGTGAGGCAGGCCGTGGTGTCCATGAGTGACACTGGGCTGAGCAGGACAGGCAGCCAGCAGGGGCTGATGTCCACCTTCTCTGCCTCGCGGGCCTGGCAGGCGAAGCCTGAGGGTCCCTCGCCCTCCTGGGCCGGGGCCCATGTACAGGGCTAGGGCTGGTGTGTGGTGGGGGCACCTCTGCTGGTGCTCCTGGGGTCAGCTGCTGCGGGGTGGGCACCCTGCCTCCAGGGGCAGAAGCCCAGGAAAGCTGCACCCCGTCTGTTCCACATTGGCCTTCCTGCGGGGTGCCCCCAGGTTCCCCAGAAAGGCTGCTCCCAGGTGGAGCCCCCAGCCCCAGGCCTGGGTCTTGAGAGGCAGCAGTGGCCTCGCTGCCTAGCACCGGGTTGGGGGTGCTTCCACAAGCTCATGGGCAGCACAAAAAAGGGCGCCTGGCCACCACRCAGTCCCAAGCTGGGAGCCACCGTGGGGGGGGGTCTGCGGCTGCCCCTCAGCAAGACCTGTCCTGGCTCCGGCTCCACCTGGCATTGGCAGCCACTGAGGGCACTGCCCGCCCCCACCAATAAAGCCCCCTCGAGCCCAGGGGCGGTGAGAGGGCACCTCTTGAAGTGTTGGCMTTTCTTTCCCAGGTGACAAGGAGACTGCACCCCAGGAGCCCCCTGCTGCCCAGCTGCAGCCACCCCAGGCCAGGCTTCCATGGTCCCAGGGGCCCTCAGGGCCTCCTGCAGAGATAGCAGCAGTAGCACAGCCAGGCTTCAAACAGACCTGCTGGAGCCTCCCTCCAGGCCCAGAGGGGACACGCAGCGGGAGGGAGAGGTCCCCGAGTGGCACAGACAGGCCACAGAGGCAGCCCACGCTGGCACAGCAGCCCTGGCACACAGCAGCTCGCCAGCCRCCTGCTGGAGATTCCAGCGCCCTCCCCCCAGGGGCAGCCCCCTTCTCAAGCCCTGCGGGCCCCTCAGCTGTCCCGGGTCCATCTGCACCTGGCCATCTGCCTGACCAGGGAGGCTTCCTCCTGGGGCACTGTAGTCAGTGCAGAGGACACACCCAGAGTCCCAACTCACTGGCCCTAACTCCGGCACCAGGGGCTCTAGCCCTGAGGAGGGACAGTGCCAGGACATGCTGGTGGCTACCCTGGTGGCAGCAGGTGACAAGCAGAGGCCAGCAGGGCCTCCCCAGGCAGGCCCCRAGCCTCAGCTCCTGGCTGAGGAACCTCAGTGCCTTTGCCCACATTAACTAGGCTTTGGGTGCAGAGTGAGGGAAGGGACAAACCTGACAGGAGGGGAGGACACACCCCCGGCAGGCGCCACCACGTGGGCCTGGCTCTGCAGATGCCGAGTGCCCGCCTGTGTGGGCGTGTGTGGGGCCACCCCGGCACCCTCACCTCTCGCAGGTGTAGAGGTCGCAGCAGTAGCAGGTGTTGCTCCTCACCTTCAGTTGGCACTTGCCATTGAAAGAGTAGCAGGTGACCTGGGAACAGAGGGACTCTCAGGTCCATCGAGGCCCTGGCTCCTTGTCCTTCCATTCATGCCAAGACCCTCCTGATCCTCTCAGGGCTCTCCCCCGTCCAGGCACAGCAGGGAGATCCTTGCTGGTGTGAAACACAGATGCCTCTCTCCAAGATGCCCTAAGCACTGGACAACCTCTCTGGATCTGGAGTGGTGGTGGCCACTCTCTGCCCCTCCTCGGACGCTGACACTCAGTTTGAGAGGCCATGTTGGTTTAAACTGAGGAATCTCCACAGCACTGGCATAGGGTGGCCAGACAAAGCCACATGGAGCTGAGTGCGAGACAGCGGTGGCCCRGTATGGACAGCCATGTGGACTTGCCGTCAGCCACGTGTGCACCTGTGGTGGCCTCCAACCTGAGGCCACCAAGTGCCCTTGTCCTTCCTGGCATCCCTCAGCTGGCATGAGACCACGCTGCAGCTGTCCTCAGCCCAGGAAGGACAGCGGGCCATGTCACCCAGGGCCTCGCTGCAGCACTGAGTCAGTACCGATGCCAACTAGAAAGGCCACACGGGGCAGCACAAATGAACCTCAGCTCCGAGTGTCACAGCTGTGGTCCCCAAGAACATGCAGGACGTTGAGATGCCATAGCTGGCCCAGAAACAATCCTGGAGCACAGACATCTCGCCGCCTCACAGTGGGAAGGGCTACAGGGAGACCGCCTTCATCAAAACTGTCACCCTGTGACCAGACAGAGCGCCACAGGGAAGCCGAGCTGCAGGCAGAGCTCACCTCTGTCTGGTAGACGTCATACAGGTATCCTGCCCCGCTGGAGTAGAACTGGCATCTTCCTGTACTGAGGGGCCGCGGTTCCTAGAGAGAGGAAATCCTGATCAGGATGGTCAAGGCGGCTCAGACCTGCCTGCTGAGGGCCCAGAGGACAGAGGTCGACCCCGGGGGAGCCTGCCAGAAAGACAGCCGGATCCTGTGAGAAGGAGGGTAGCGCAGGAGCACCCCGGGGCCGCTCAGCTGGACTGACAGGTCTTCTCTACCGGTCAACCAGGGAGAAGGGTGAGACAGCGCTTCACCATACCACAGACTCCTGCTCTGTTCCCAAGAGCAAAAATGTTTTTTTCTACTTTGGAAGGTAGCAAGAGGGATTTCACTCAGACATCCCACCAGCCCACTAAGCACCCACCCAGCTGTCCACCTATTCATGCAGTCATTCACTCACCTATGCCTCTGTGCATCCACCCACCTGTGCACCTTCACCTACACATCCATCCATCCATCATCCATCATCCATCCCTCCTTCCATCTGCCCATCCACCCACCCACCCACCCATCCATCCATCATCCTTCCATTATCCTTCCATCTGTCCATCCACCCACCTGTGCACCATCACCTACCCAACCACCCCACCCATCCACCATCCATCATCCTTCCATCTGTCCATCTGTCCATCATACATACATACTAACATCTGTCATTCCTCCATACATACAAACATCTCTCTTTCCATCCGTCTTTCCATGGGTCCCGATCCACCCCCTCCACAGGCACTCGCTGGTCTCATCCCTCTGCCTCCCCACCCCCTCCACAGGCACTCGCTGGTCTCATCCCTCTGCCTCCAACACTCATGGAGCACCACAGCCTCAGACCCAAGGAGGCCGAGACACAGCAGAGTTCCTCCTGGTTCACAGACCAGTCAGGGAGTCAGACCCATAAACCAACGATTGCAAAATGCGTACGATCTCCCACTCCACCGTGCACCCATGAGTGTGTCCACCTGCCGCCACTCCTCTCCCGCTGCACCCTACCCATCTGTCTCATGATGTCCTGCTGCAGGATAGCTCACCACAGCCCACTTCGTCACATATGTCCCCCCATGAGAGCGGATTCTGTTCCCTCCTTGACTGTCATTTTGGTGCCCAGTTTTGGAGCCATTGTCACCCTGGGTGGGGACCGTACTCACTATGTGCTGTGCAGCAAACACGCCGTCGACGACAGCACAGCAGAAGGCTGCTACCACACCGAAGCTGATGAACACAATGGCCGCCACCAGCTGCAAGCAGAGGACAAGCAGGAGTGTCAGCTCTGCAGAAGGACCTCCCATCAGCACTCCCGTCGCCTGGAGTCGGCCTCCTTCCTTCCCACTGTGGGCGCTCCCTCAGTTTGCAGCCTCCTCTTTGGACGGCTCCAGGGCCTGCTGTGCTCTCCTGGCTCACACACAGCTTCTGTGGCAGCTCCGCACACCTGCTCGCCCACACTGGAGCACATGCATCAGGCGCCTCACCTCGGRTTGGGCAGTGACCGCTGCCTTGTCCTGCACCTGCACTTTGCCAGCTCCCACCTTCTGACAGCAGAGCACCTCTCCTAGGCCACGAAGCACTCTTGGCACTATTGTCCTCCAAGGTCCAAGGATCTGGTCACGGTTCAAGGTCACCCAGCTCTGCACCCTGACACGTGGGCCCTGCTCCTCAGCCCCCACCCTAGGGGTGGCTGTGCTTTCTGACCTTCGCCCACGCGGCAGCAAGAAATCGCACTTTAGTGAGTTGTAATTTGTGTTGCTCTGCCGGGCGTGGTGGCGCACACCTGTGATCCCAGAGGCTCAGGAGGCTGAGGCAGGAGGATCACAGGTTCAAAGCCAGCCTCAGCAATGTAGCGAGGAGCTACGCCACTCAGTGAGACCCTGTGTCTAAGTAAAATACAAAATAGGGCTAGGRTGTGACACAGTGGTCAGTGCCCCTGAGCTCAATCCCCAGGACCAATGATAATAATAATGATTTAGGTTTCTCTGATTCTGAGTGAGTTTGAATGTCCTTTTCTTTGTTCAGGGCTGTTCCTGTKATTTCTTGTGAATTAGCTGTTGACCTCTATGCTTCCTGTTGGGTTCTGGGCCTTGTGCCTCAAGCTATAGAGCATGCAAGCGTGCACACACAACACACCCATACAGAGGCACATGAGTCTATGTGTACATGTAATATGTATGCACACATCATTACATGTGTGCTTTGTGTCACTGCATGTGTGCATGCAACAGGCATATGTGTGCACACAGGCTCACACCTTCATACACGTGTACAGGGCACACATGCAGGTACTATGAATACATGTGTGCAAACAGGCTCACACCTCCATA